TGACATGGCAGCTTGCTTCCCCCCACCGAGAGAGTAATCCAAGAGAAAGCTAGGAGGATGCCACAACACCTCATGATCTAGTTTTGAAAGTCACATACCCTCACATCTGCCATATTCTTTTTTGGGAAAATTTGATATAAAGAATTATTGTTTATATTACAAAGCTTTAATAATTGAAACAGTATGGTACTGACACAAAGACAGACACAAAGATCAATGAATCAGAATAAAGAGACAAGATAAAAGCCTACACTTACATGCAATTAATCTATGACAAAGGAGGCAAGAATATACAATGGGGAAAAGACAGTCTCCAATAAATGGTGTTGGGAAAACCGGACAGCAACATGCAAACTAATGATACTGGACCACTTTCTTACACCATACACAAAAATAAACTCAAAATGGATTAAAGACCTGAATGTGAGACCTGAAGCCATAAAGCTCCTAGAAGAAAATATATATAGGCAGTACCTTCTCTGACATCAATCTTAGCAACATTTTTCTAGATATGTCTCCTCAGGCAAAGGAAACAAAAGCAAAAATACAATATTAGGATTATACCAAAATAAAAAGCTTTTGCATATCAAGAGGAAATCATCACCAAAATGAAAAGGCAACCTACTGAATGGGAGAAGATATTTGCGAATGATATGTCCAATAAGGGGTTAATATCCAAACTACAGAAATAAGCAACTCAACACCAAAAAAATTTGATTAAAAAAATGGGTGGAGAACCTGAATAGACATTTTTTCCACAGAAGACACACAGATGGCTAACAGATCCGTGAAAAGATGCTCAACATCATTAATCATCAAGGAAATGCAAGTCAAAACCACAATGACATGTCATCTTATACCTGTCAGAATGACTAGTATCAAAAAGAGAAATGACAAGTGTTCGTGAGGATGTGGAGGAAAAGGAACCCGCTTACACTCTTGATGGGAATGTAAATTGGTGTAGCCACAGTGGAAAACAGTATTAAGGTTCCTCAAAAAAGTAAAAATAGAAATACCATATGATCCAATACTCCACTATTGGGTATCTGCCCACAGAAAACGGAAATACTAATCTGAAAAGATACATGAACTGCTATGTTTATTGTAGCATTTACAAAAGCCAAAATATGGAAGCAACTACAAGTCCACTGATAGAGGAATAGATAAAGAAGATGTGGTATACATATACAATGGAATATTACTCAGCCACAAAAAAGAATGGGATCTTGCCATTTGGGAAAACATGGATGGACCTAGAGGGTATTATGCTAAGTGAAATAAGTCAGAGAAAGACAAATACCATACGATTTCACTTATATGTGGAATCTAAAAAACAAAAGAGGGGCGCCTGGGTGGCTCAGTCGTTAAGCGTCTGCCCAGTGTCCTGAGATCGAGCCCCGCATCGGGCTCCTTGCTCGGCGGGAAGCCTGCTTCTCTCTCTCCCACTCCCCCTGCTTGTGTTCCCTCTCTCGCTGTGTCTCTGTCAAATAAATAAATAAAATCTTAAAAAAAAAATAAATAAAAAACAAAAAACAAAAGAAACAAAAAGCAGAAAGAACTATTAACTAGTAACAGGGTATTAAGCACTAAGGGGCAAAGACAAGGCTAAATACAGAAACAGCGGTTATAGGGAGCAAGCACTACCTTTAGGGCTGAGGCAGAGTACCGAAGGAAGAAACAAACTTGGAAGAGCCCTCCCACCCCCACTGCTAGGCTGAGATTCAGACCTCACTGGGGAGAGGTTAGTTATGGGCCATTGGATGGTTGAAGTTTGCTGAGGTGCTACAGGTTGCGTCTGGCAGGCAGGAAACTGCCCACTGAAGTGTCACTGAATTCACTGGGAAGCCACCCTCTGAATGTCCTCGCCACCTGTGTGTGTGTATGTTGGGGGCGGGGGGAGGGAGGTATGGTTCTGCAAACCATTTGCTTCTGTACACCACAAAAGCAAGAAGGAAAATAAAGTATACTAGAACTAGGAAGAGAAGATCCTTCATTTGCCTGTGTTCCTCTAGGGCTCTCTATTGACAAAATTAAGTGTTGTGCCAGCTGGCAGAGAAGAAACATTCACAGGGTCCTAGTTGGACTCCAGTATTCCAAAGTATGTAAAAGAAGAATGGAGTTTGGAACTGAGAGGCTATAAATTGGTAACGGCAAACATACGGTCTGAGGCACAAAAGTTAATGTGCTTGATTATCAAGTGCTCTCCAAGACTCCACTAAGTGTGTTTCATTATATATACAGTATGTTTACCATACTGTCTTTGTACAATCTAAGCAATTCTGAATTCTGAATATGTTTCGGACCTCAGGGTTTCCATTAAGGGATTGTGGACCTGACCACTTTGCTGTTAGTGGGTCTTGTAAACCCCAGAGCAGAGCTATCTGAAAAACTGGGGGAAATATGACTCAAGGACTTCTGCCTTTAGCGATGACCAAATCTAATCACCAGTTGGCTTCCAGCCTGAAGCAGTTAAAATACCTGAGAACCTGAGTTCTTGTCTGACATAAGTAATAAGACTTGGCTCAGCTTGCCTCTCATATAGCTTGGGTAAAGCTTCTATCAATATATGACTTTTTAATCACATTGAGCTCCTGGAATTTGACCTAAAAGTATTTTTTCCTCTTATGGTGGGATATGGTTTTAATAAAAGGACAGAAACCTTGAGTTATCTCCATTACAGTTCTAACAGCAGGGGTTGCAAATTCAAATCTCTCTATGGGTTAGGCATACAAATTAAGTGAGTGGAGCATGCAGATATAAGACAACAGGGAGCAATGGGGACAGGAGAAATCTATAGAGCACATGCTTCATGTAAAAAAGGCAGTTGCTACTTAACCCCTGAATATTGTTGCCACACATAGCCAAAAACCAGATAGTCTGAGTTTTCAAGAGAAGATGGAAATTCAGACTTTAAAATGTGAAAATGTCAAATTTTAAAACAATAAAAATGCTGTAGGGTAAACATACATATTGAGGAATTCAGCTTGTGACTCCTACCCTAACCCTATGTGCTAGGTCCTGTGGCAAATGCTGGTACCTCAGGGGTCTTGGATGGCTGTTACATTAGTAGTCCTCAATGAACCTTGACTCTCGGCATTCACAACCTTGCATAGTCCCTTTCTACATGGACTCTGGGCTTGGTTGTATGACTTGCTTTGGCCAATGGGACATTAGGAAGCATGGTGCGACTGAAGGCTTGATAATCATTTGCTCATTGGGGCTTGTCTTCTTGGAAGCTAGTCACCATGCAGAAGCATGGTGAATAAGACACCAGGTGAAGAGAGGCCCTGGAGGATGAGAAGCCATTTTGACGAGCTCCCAGCTGATTGCAGTCTCATGAGTAACCTCAGTATACTATGTGGGCCCAGCTGTGTTCAGTCAACCCACACAGTTGTAAAAATAAACCACTGTTATTTTAAGCTACTCAGTCTTGGGCATGGCTTATTATGATACACCATATAACTGAAACAAGAGGTCATTTATTCTAACTCCTGTTTTACTAACCAAGGCCCAGGCAGGGGAAGGGGCCTTGTGAAATTCAGACAGCAAGTTAGTGGTAATAACTTTCTAATTCTGTGCTTTTTCTTCCTATTGCTTTTCTTTTAATTCTTTTGGTGGAAAGCACCAGATAAGGACTACGAAACTTCAAACTCTACTGGCATGGAACTTACACTGTGCCCTGCATGCATACAAATTACTGTAATAACTTGGATCCTTAGAAATGGAAAGATTTCTAGGTCATTAAGTCCCCTCACTTGACAGGTGCAGAGAATTCAAAACACTAGAGAAAGAGAAAAGCAGCCTCTGATATTTGGAAGCTGGCCTGGTACAATTATCCAGGCTGTAATGTTACTAGATGATAGATGGCCCTCTTAGGTAGGCCTTGTGCTCTCCTGTTGAACAGAATTTCACAGAATGTAAACATCAGATGGGGCCATTCTCTGACTGTGGATAGATCAAGACAGAAACAAGATCACTCCTTAATTATATTTGAACGCAGATAAGTCACGAACAATGTCCAAACCTAAAAAATGACCGAACATCCCCCATCCTGATGAGGGGTTCATGCTTCTTTAGCAATTGCAGCTTCAACCTCAATCTACTGGTCCCTTGTTCCAGGCATGATTGAGATGCTCAATCATAGAATCACCCCCACTTCCTGACAGCATCTAATCCAGAGTAAAGCCCCATTTCCTTAAACCCTCTCCCAAAACACGTAACAACTCTTACCGAGACGCCTATAATTTCTCATGGTGGGTATTCTTCGTCACTGCAACCAGTAATAAACTCAACTTGTTCAATCAGTATGTACCTGGTGGTCTTTGGTTAGCGGGCACTAATAGACCTGACAAAGTTCACACAGAGCTGAAGGCAGAATTCACTAGGAGTCTCCACCTGCAGTCCTTCTTAGCGCCTACTCTTTTGGTTAATGTCTGTTTTCCCACCACTAGAATCGGAGCTGATTCCCAGTGCCTAGGCTGGTACCTGGCAGAGATTGGAAGTTTAAAAAATAAATATTTTCTGAACGAATGAATAAGAGGGGCTCAATATACACAGGTTCCCTTTCATCTCTCAGCTCCTCCCAGTTCGTGGTGCGTACAGACAGCACCACAGTTCATCTCCATAAACCCACTTTCCCCAACGAAATTTCCAAACCCCTCACTTCTGGGATGCCCATACTCGCAGAGCCTCTCCCTTGCCCGAGCTTCTCTCGCTTGTTGCCCCTCCCACACCTGAGCCCCAAGTCCTCCTAACGCATCTAGAACCCACCTGTCTTCATCATCTGTCCCTAGCACCAGACGCTCACGGACCAGCAGCGCCGCTACCTAGACGTCGACTAGGCACTGCGGCATCGACTGCGCATGTGCGGAAATCGGTCTCACACTCAGGATCTCTGACGAGTGAAGAGTTACCTCTGAGTTTCCGTCCCGGTCTCAGTCGCCTGGGGCTGCCAGGAAGTCAGGAGAAACTAGCCGGAAGGAGAACCCGCGCGCAGGGCTTTCCGGGACATGTAGTCGTGGAGTTCCCGAGGCCCTATTTTGAGGGAGACCTTAATTCTTTAGGTTTGCACGTCCCACAGTCACAGTCCAGTGCTACTTTTGCTCAGAATTCAGCTTCGGACTGCCAAGAGAGAGTAGCCTGGTGTTGACTTCTCGTTCCCACAACGCTCTGCGGGGCCCCCGGCGCCTGCTGGGAGCTGTAGTCCTCGGTCTGCGTACTGCGTTCGCCGAGGGGGAGGGTGGAGCTGCCGGCGGCCCGGGCGGGCTGGCAGCTAGAGTGGGAACGGTAGCCGCCTCCGCTTCTGCCGCCTCCGCCGTCGCCTCCTCCGCCCGGGCCGTTCGCTGCTGCGCGGGGAGAGCGAGGCGGGGCCGCCGGGGCCGCCATGGAGCCCGACTCGGTGATTGAAGACAAGACCATCGAGCTCATGGTGAGTGCGGCCCGCTGGACCGTTCTTCCGTCCGTCCGGCCCCGGGCGGGCCTGCCCACCTCAACGTCCGGCGCGAGGCGGGCCCTAGCCCTTCCCCGCCGCCTTGGCCGGGACCTGGGCCCCCGCTTTCCTGGCCTCGGGGCCGGCGCGGTTGCTCCGGATCTCTGGAGATCTCAGGCCAGACCTGGCCCGGCCCCCTCCATGCTCCTCGGTTCTCCTTCCTCCCTCTGTCCTATATCCGGGCCCATCTCTCGAAGGACCCTCGCTCGATTATGCTGTGGCCTTAGCTCACACTCGCTCTAGCATCTCATTCTCCTTCTCTTAGAAGGGGATTTTCCCCCCGAATTTCTCCGGCCCAGGCCTGCACCGCTCTTGGAAGCCCCACTCAGGCCGAATGAGATGGTGGGGGGGGGTTACGGAGGAGATCGATCAGGGCCTCGGTCTCCGCATCCTAGTAGGGGTCTCAGCACCCTCTCCTCAGCGTAGGGGTGTGTGGATTCCGGGATAGGCCCTACAGGGGTGGAGGTGGGGAGCTCTGGGGTTTGAGGCTGTGACGGATAAGGGGCCTCTTTCCCGGGCCCCTGTGGTGTCCGGCTTCTCGGACAAAGGGTTTCCTACTCCGCGGTGAGGGATGTTTGCATAGCAAGGCCCCAGGTACTCTGGATTCCATCTCCCAGGAAAGGGAAACCGTAACTTCGTGTTTCCCAGCGTTGCTTTGGGAAGATGGGGGAGGGGAGCTTCTTCTCATCACTGCCGTCAGTTCTTTCTTATTAAAAAAAAAAGGGGTGGGGGAGAGTCCTAGGCCCCTGGGGAAGCGATCACTCTTCTATTACAAACCATTGGTAGCCATGCCAGACTCCCCGGTCCTACGGATACCCCAACCGCTTTCCGTTTTACGACTTGGAGCCAGAAGGGGTTTTTAGAAACAACTATCAGAGAGTGGCTAGTAGAAGCGAAGAATTTGCTGCTTGGTGGATGATTTGGTGGAAGAAAAGAAACATGGCAGCTATTACCTGCCAATTTGAGCGTTGGGGAAATCAAACTGGGCTCTGGACAGTTGGGAGAAGTCTTTACCTCAGCAAATGGACATGCCCAGGGTTTCTTCCTGTGGAAACCTTGACAGTTTCTTTGTATCTCTCCTAACACAGTAACAAGTAACAGCCTCTACCCCTGGGTTGAGAGGAAAGGTGAAAGAATCTACTTAACCCAGCAAAATGTTTTCCTAGCCAGATTTCTCCAGTGTGAAAATGTTTATTGAGTCAGTGATTCCACTGGGTAGGGTCGGTGACATCAGAGCCACTTCCCCCATTTAATGCTATAAATAATAAATGGTGACACTGAAAGTCTGTTGGATAGCTGCATGGTTTCTGTGGATGATGGTATCTGGGGAGTTGAGATGCATGTTTTAAAAATGGAAGTACAGTAGCATAAACACACAGCTTAATATTTGCTGTCCTTTGCATAATCCACAGAACTAGACTTCTCCAGTATTCTTATAAAACTAGAAAAAAAAAGCTTTGCTCGTTTCTGCTTTGTGTGCAGACATATGTGCTTGCTTTTTAAAGGATATTGTCGTGTGAGTTTTTATTTGCTTTTCATTATTAAGTACTTTTTCCTTTTGAGTATAATTTATCAAACTATTATTGTAGCGAAACCTTTGATGTTTCTAGAAATTTTGTAGTGGGTTATTTTGGTAAAATCTCTTATTGGAATTCCATATATAGTACATATTTTTACAGATCTACAATACATGTCCTCGCAACTGGAGGAGTACTTCACATTGAAAAGTTGTAACTTGGTGCCTCTGAAATTGGCTGTTCTGTGCTCCTTCCATTTCCATTCTTTTAAAAAATAAAATGTCTTTATTTTCAAAAGAATTAGAAGAAATACAATGTAATTCATTTAGTATTTTTGATTGTATGGTAAAAAAAAAATCTCTGGCCTAAATTTATTGGTTTCCCATGCTCATAACTTTAAAAAAGTTTTGATTGTACATGAGTTTACTTGTTTATGATCTGAAAAGATATTTCAGCCTTTCAAGGACATTATAAACGGAGATTCTCAGAAAATTTAACAAAGAGATCAATTTTGAAACGGGTTTTCATATTCGGATTTTGATATTCTCTCAAAGGGATACCCAGTTAAGACTCTTAGGCAACCCTTTTCATAACTGTATATGTATTTATTTTAGTGTAGTAGATAGCACAGGTATTTAACAACTGATTTAGTAAATCCAGGATTGAATGTAGGAATGATAATGCCTTAAAATCTAATTGCATGTGGCTCTCTGTATTCACTGCATTTTAATTACAGTTTCCAAAACTAGGTTAAAAATACTTTTTACATTGGTTTCAAAATAACATAATTGAGAGAGAGGAATGGGATAAACTGATGGTATGTTGAAAGCCTTAAGCATGAAATATTTTTAGATTTTTATGAGTCAGCTTCACTACTCAAATATTTGTGATTGTGCTACCTGTATCAGTTTGGTACTTAATGGTTAACAGGGTAACTTTCATTTGATATTCCAGAGAGAGCTATATTAAAGACAGGAAATAGGCTTTTTGATTATCTCCAATTTGTTAATCTTCATCCTTCCACTTCCTCTGATTTGATTCTTTTTCTTTTTTTTCCTTGTACTTTTTTTTTTAGCTTACTAAGAAATAAAGCTGGTGATAGCCTAATAATTAAATCTCCAAAATATGCCCTCCCCACTCCCTTTGTGACTCCTACCTCTGCCTCAGGCCGGGTCCACAAAGAGTGCTTCTCCAGTTGACCCACCTCATAGGGTTCAGTCTTGAATATAGACTATAAACTCTTGATTGAGACAACTGAATTTATAATTGCTGATGGTAAATAATTTAACCACCCAATGACTTTCATGGCCTTATCTTGGACCAGTATTGTACCTAGTTTGTGGGACTGTTTTTGAAATTTCTGACTTTGGTAGAATGAGCATTATTATTAATGAGGTAGAAAAGTAGTAATCCAGTTGGAAATATACAAAGTTTACAAGGCTATGTCTATTGCAGTGGACTTCACTGGAAAGAAGGAAAACTGCATTATGTATCACATGATGTTTATCAATGCTTGAATTAGGAATATGAGCTGATGTTTGGCCCTCATTACTAGAAAGCACTCACACAGCTGCTAATTGGAAGAGAAAGATGGTAAGTTTTCCCTATTAGAAGATAGCAGAAATTGATGTTCAAGGTTAGGAAAGGTAACCCTGCTTCCTCTATGGGTGTGAGAGCATGCCCATCCCCCTCCCCCAAACACAAATTAATGGACAGTTTATACTCTATTGCTGGCTGTTGGTTGTTTCCCCTCTTTGCTAAGTGACCTTAAGTGACTCATTTTCCTTTTGTGTTATCTCTAAGTGGCTGTATTACTTGTTGAATTTAGTAATATAGGTAAAATACATTAGACCTTATTAAGAAGGTCAGATATCAGTGTTGTGTTTTAGAGCTGTTGAAGTATAGGCGGGCCACAAGGCCAAGGAGAAGTGAAGTTACGGAAAATTTTTCTCTTTTTTCTTTTTGGATTTTTCCCCCCTTCCTGTCACTGGTTTTCTGAGTGGAGTAAGTAGGATTTAGTGACTCTTTTAAGAAATTGGATCTTAGTTTGTCACTATCACTTATCCTTATCTACTCCTAAGCTTGTGCTGATTTACTAAATGCAGATTAAGTATACAAAGGTTTAAGTAGGATCTGAATGAAATAAACTACATAGGTATTTATAGACTCATTTACCCGCCTCAAGGGGCTGTGGCTCAGATATATCAATTTTGCTCCTGGTTTGGAGTAGGTTAGATGTCCCTTCAGAATTGACAAGAACAAACATGATCCAGTGCACATGTTTTGGTACCCCGGCTCTTGACTGCTCTAACTGGAAAACAGAGTGCTTGCACAGGAAAATCACTAGGCCGTTACATAGGTTCACAGAGCAGCACATACAGCCACTTGACCCTTGAACGACATGGGTTTGAACTGTGTGGATCCACTTATATACCTTTTTTTTTTAATAGGATAGTACTGTAAGTTATTTTCTATTCTTTATGATTGTCTTAGTATTTTCTTTAGCTTACTTCATGTAAGAATACAATATATGATACATAAAAAATACAAACTGTGTGTTAGTCACCTGGTTATATTATTGATAAGGCTTCCAATCAACAGTAGGCTCTTAGTAGTTAAGTTTCTGGGGAGTCAAAAGTTATATGCGGATTTTCTGTTATGTGGGGGTCAGTGTCCTTAATCTCCCATGTTGTTCAAGGGTCAACTGTACATCCCTCTGAGTAGTGCTGTTTGATCCTATGAGTTTTGCACTCTGAGGTTCCTGGGTTCCACCTGGTGGTATTTACACTTTAAGGGAAAGAAAGCATTTCAAGTCCTAGTAATTTCAATTCGAGACTCCCAGCTTTTCTTCCCACATTCCTCACTTATTCTGTATTTCAGCCAAACAGCGGACCAGGGTTCTTCAGATTTTGCTCACACTATTTTATTTTTTCTATCAGCACTGATAGTAACTGACTAAGTCCATGTATTGAAGGCTACTGATGTTTACTAGAGGGACCTTATAGTTGGCCAAATTGGCTTAGGTCAAATCTCAGCAATTCTCTCTTGCACCTGCACTGAGATTGTCTCCTCAAAACACAATTTAGATGCTAACTCTTTTGATGTCAATTTACATTATGGTGGCACATACCATTTTGTTTTTATAGCACTGCCTACATGATGTTTACTGTTAAATGAACGAATTCTGGCACTTTGTATTTATCTGGTGGCACTTAGCATATTCTGGGTTCGTATTATAGTTTCCTGTTTGTGTCCCCTATTGAATGATAAACTCTCAGTGCCTTCTTATGGTACATGTTCAGTAAACGTTGAATTGAATTTTCCTGTTGATTGTTGACGTGCATTATTGCTGTCTGTCTGTATGGTAATTCTCACCTGTATCATTAATTCTCATAATAATCTATTCCTAACTCTTATGGGACT